CAGCGGTGCCTGGACAGCGTGACGTGTGTGGTTGTGCTGCTGCCGTGGTCCTGCCAGATGCCTCCTGCTGCTGCTGCCATCATTAGTCATTAGTCATACTTCTACTGTTATTATACACATATGACTATTGTCACACATGTATACTGCCAGATATTAATACATACTTTCAACATATTGTACCACAGTAGCCAGAACTATAACTATAATATTATTACTTTCAGTAATGTTGTTGTAAGCTACTGTCATTACCTGCATCTCTCTCTCTCTCTCTCTCTCTCTCTCTCTGTCTCTCTCTCTGTCTCATTGTGTCATACGTATTACTGTTAATTTATTATGCTGATCTGTTCTGTATGACATCTATTGCACATCTGAGGTTTCTACCATTTTTTTGGACCTGCATAGCGCCTTTCTAGTCATCTGATCACTCAAAGTGCTTTTTACACTACGAGTCACATTCATCCATTCACACACACATTCATACACTGGTGGCCGAGGCTACCATACAAGGTGCCACCAGCTACTCAGTTTTTAACACAGCATCATCGGGAGCAATTTGGGGTTCAGTATCTTGCTCAAGAATTCTTTGACATGCAGACTGGAGGAGCTGGGGATTGAACTGCTGATCTTCCGATTAGTGGACGACCTGCTCTACCTCTGAACCACAGCCGCCCACTGTAACAACCAATCAGATTCATCTACCACTGTAGAACCAATCAGATTCGTCTTCCACTGCAGTGAGACGTGTTACCTGGAGGTGGGATGTGTTGTAGAGGCTGTGATTGGCCGGCAGGCGACAGTGGTGGGAGGGGATTCCTGAGACAAAGTTGTTCAGCAGGTTCTGACTCGCCATCAGCAAACCAGGTAAACTGATCAGAGTCACATGGATCCATTGGTACCTGCCAAACCCACCCACCTGGCCATGGCAACGAGAAGGACACACACAAACACACACACAAACACACACACACACACAGATTACATGATGTGGTAATTACATTACATGAAGGAGTAATCAGATTACATGCTGCAGTACTCAGTAGTAGTAAAGAATATTGTCTCACCTCCTGCAGCAGCTCACTGAAGCCCATCTTGTGAGTCGTCTCTCAGATTATTTTAATGTGTTTTTTTTTTTTGTTCCAAATTAAAAATTTTACAAATACTTTCTAAAACAGATTTTTGATGTCGGGCTGCACCACACAGCTTAATTTAACAAAAACAACAACAATAATAATAATACTAATAATAATAATATAAACAGGTTTCACGTGCTGTGTTCAGGGTCTGAGGTTCAGCTCCATCTGAAAGAACCTGAGAACAAAACAGAGCAATAAACTTAATTAAATCTGAATGAAAACTGGGGTCAAAGGTCAAACTGTAAAAAAAGAGCCGTTTCAAAATTTCGAAAACTCTCCAAACTGTTCCAAACATCCGCTTAACTCTCTAAACTGTTCCAAACATCCTCCAAACTCTCTAAACTGTTCCAAACATCCTCTGAATTCACCAAACTGTTTCAAACATCCACTGAACTCTCCAAACTGTTCCAAATATCCACTTAACTCTCTAAACTGTTCCAAACATCCACTTAACTCTCCAAACTGTTCCAAACATCCACTTAACTCTCCAAACTGTTCCAAACATCCTCTGAATTCACCAAACTGTTTCAAACATCCACTGAACTCTCCAAACTGTTCCAAACATCCACTTAACTCTCCAAACTGTTCCAAACATCCACTTAACTCTCTAAACTGTTCCAAACAACCTCCAAACTCTCCAAACTGTTCCAAACATCCACTTAACTCTCCAAACTGTTCCAAACATCCACTTAACTCTCCAAACTGTTCCAAACATGCTCCAAACTGTTCCAAACTGTTCCAAACATCCACTGAACTCTCTAAACTGTTCCAAACATCCTCTGAACTCTCCAAACTGTTCCAAACATCCACTTAACTCTCCAAAATGTTCTAAACATCCTCCAAACTCTCCAAACTGTTCCAAATATCCACTTAACTCTCTAAACTGTTCCAAACATCCTCCAAACT